CAATTGCATGATGAAGAACTTTACAAGGGATAGTCAGGTGGTTTAGGTTTAAGGTCATTTTAGTAGTCAATTGACGGTCGATAACCCGACATCAAGCCTCAAGTTCGTTATAGCCTTCAAACCTAAATGGATAATTTTGGACGTAGGCATAATTTTCACATTCCTCTAACTTACGTATGTCCAGAAGAGTAGCTTTATCAAGAGTGAAACGTTTGTCCTTAATCGTGCAAGTGACATGATTTGAATAAAAGGATAGATTTTGATAAAATTCACAAATTAATCTAGGATATGCAATTTCAGAGATAGAGATAATATTTTTCCATCCTATACCCTCAAAGTATTCTTCTATCTTAAATGAAGGTGCTTGAAGATAGAATTCGAAAACATCAATGACTTACTGATAAGAATGGGGCAATCAGTGAAATGATCGTGCACGAGTGTATCAACCTCGACATTCAACGAGCTCGCTTCACTTTTCTTAGATATTTTCTTCGGAGGCATGGTTTGAACCAGATTTCTCGAATAAAGAGTGAGTGAGATTTTGGATTTTCAAATTTTTGGTGGAAAAATTACGTGTAAATGAATAGAGAATGAGTAGCCCACAAAGATTAGAAGTATGTTTAGTGATTTGGAGGGAATTTGCAAGAGATTTTTGAAGAGGATTTTGAGATTTCAAGTGTTGAAATAAAAACCTAGTTTTTCGAAATTTTTGACAATAATGGAAGAGAAAACTTCGATTTTGACATGAATAGGTAATGAGTGTTGTTGATTTGTTGGAATTTTGAATGAAAAATGTGAGATTTGTAGGTTTTGAAGAGAGAAGAAGGAGAGAAATTCATATTTTTAGGGTTGAATGAAGATTTTAGGGGTAAAAATTGAGATTTAAAGGAGCTGAATCGCAACAACTTCAGTCGACCGGACCAATTTTCAGTCGACCGAAACTCTGCAGGTTTTTTAAACATGGAGTTGCAGTTGTTTTCAGTTGACAGTTGGTCGACCGAAATATATGTTTCAGTTGTACAACTAATCGATCAAATGATGGTTTTAGTCGATCAATGGGTCGACTGAAAAGCTGTAAAGTTGGATTTTTCAAGAATTTTCGATTTAATCATCTATATATGATAAATTTAGCCACAGATCTCAAATTCATCAATAATACTCAAGCATCTTCTAATATATGAAAAACCTATCGAGAGCTAGAGGTATAGTAAGAATGTCGGCCAATTGTTT